TCTCTCTCTCTCTCTCTCCATATGTGCAGAGGTACGTATAGTATCTTGCAAGCTTCTGAGGTGGAAGCCCAGCAGGAGGCCTTGGCCAACGCAGCAAGGGAGCTGCAAGCGGCGCAGGTGCATCCTCATTTTTGCATCATCATCATCATTATTATCATCATACATAGGGTCCTTGCATTGGGTAATCCTAGGTACCATAAAACATTGCGGGTTCGGAGTTTTACGAGGAATTCGTGGTCCATGAAATGACTGGATGGGTCACCTCCCATAAGAGGCTTTAGGCAGAATTCTGTACAGGTTTGGACACATATTCTCCGCGTCTCCTACTCTCAGCAGAGGTCGACTCAATATGGCACATGCAAGAATGTCCAGTTGACATGTGAGATTCTGGTGCATCACCCTGTGATTGTCTTCTGCTCTCACGGCCTTGGAGGAAACAGAGCAGCCAACGTAATGGTCAGAAGTCACAGTAGTCAAGGTACTTTCAGGCTTGGGGCCCGAACTTGTCCCCGGCAAGCGAGTAGCAGCAATGAGCACGCAGCTGCCGCGCATGATTCGGCTTTGTATGTTAGATGTTTCACGAACTTGGCAACTGTGCAGGAAGCCGCAGCAGCTCAACAGGCTGTCGAGAGCTTACCCGCCTTGCAGCAGCCAGGAGGTCAGAACTGTGCAATTATTCAAAGGAAGAGGACTTAGATTTCCAGGGTATCTGGGGGTGCCCGTGCTTTTCAAAGCAGAATCGCACAACATCTACAACATCACCAGAAGTCGGATGTGAAATGCTCTCCAAACAGCGCCAAGGCCTTGGAATCCATGTCGCCAGAGCAGCGTGATGCCGTTTTGGCCGCCATGTCTGCCGCCAGCGAGGACAGCAAATGGGTGGTTTTCGACTTTCTGACTTCAAAGTTGTGATGAGGTGACGCGGGAGGGGTCCCAGGCTGCTGGGGCGGTGGGTGTCTAAGTTTTGCTTTGGAAGGACGAGACGCAGACGAAAACAAATCGAATCTCTCCTCTCCTCCCCTCCCAGGCTTCAGTTTCCTAAGGCTCTTCCATCTTTGCTCATGCTTTCTTTAACTTCCTCACATTCCTAGGTGGCCCCTGCACTGCCCCCAGAAGCTGGAAGGCTTCCTGAAGCCCCTTGTCTTGCAGGCCCAGCAGGCACAGCAGTCCCAGTTCTATGAGGCGGGTGCTGCTCTGAAAGTCTTAAGGGGCACATGGGAATCACAAGGACATTACAGGGGGTTCGTGTGAGGGATCACATACCCAAATATCTGCCACGTGATGTAACAATTTTCAAGCGGCACATGTCCATGTAGAGTCAAGGCAGGCAATGCGCATGCGTCGTCTGCAGGCCATGAAGGCGCACGAGATGGAGAAGTTGCAGAAGGCAGGAGACTAGCAGCATCTGCCGTGCTCGCATTTCATGTCTCGTGCACCTTCGGGTGTCGGGAAGTGGAAGCTCGCGGAAATTGTTAAAACCTACTTGTGGCTGCCATGTCTCATGTCCCGACATAATCCCAGCCGAGTCCCACATAGTGAGATGTATTCAGTATCAGGTCTTAACTCTGGAGCCGTTCAGTGTGTACACGAACCCAAGCTGTCCCCTGAATCAGAGCGGCTACTACCAGAGCAACCAGCCCGAGCGGTTCAAGGATGGCTACCGCCCGCCCCTGCCTCAGAAGTCGATCAGGCCACGTGCTGCTCAACACTTACCGTCAGGGCCCCTTCAGCAATGGTCCCCCAGAATTCTGTGGGATTCTTGATCCTGTGATGGCCAAAACTTCAATCTGCGAGCCGGAAGCGCGCCAGGCTGCGGATGTGCAAGCACTACAAGACGGACCAGTGTTGGCGAGGGCAGGAGTGCACCTACGCTCACAGCTTGGAGGCGCGGGCCTGATCTAAAGGAACAGCCCCATGTAAAGATCGGACTGTTAACACCCCATTCACTCTCTGAGCTCTGTTCGTATCAAGTCGGTAACGATTAACAGGTGTCGCAAATTTGGGCAGGGACTGCTTGTGCAGATTCATATTAGGAACCGTGGCCTCAGATCAGCTTGCAAGCCCAAACGGGAAACCGCAAGTATCTCACATGGGTACTAATTACCAGGAAGTAGACGCCTGAGATCCTGAAGTTTCCGCCAAGACACAGCGGCTGCAGTGACAAGTGGCGTCATGGCCTAAGGAACTGCACCCGGCCTCACCGGATCTTCCACGTGTGGAGGCGGCAGCCTTACGTGGGAATGTTGCTTACGTTCAAAGAGGGTCCCAATAGTTGGGTTCTTGTTGCAACATGGGTCCTCATGTGAGTTCCGGAAGAGCAAGCTCCAACATGCAGTCCTTGTCAAGAAAGGGTTGAACAGTACCAGGTAGCAGAACTCTCAAGTTACAAACGCTTCTTTCCTTTGTGGAGATATATGCGCGAATGTTACACTAAGGTTCGGTGATCTGTCTACATCCCTGCAAAAGTAGCATCATCATCGTCATCATCATCAGCATCATCATCATCATCATCAGCAGCAATCTAGCAGCGACGACCCCGATCTGCCAGAACTTGACTCCTGGCAGGTGAAGGAAACCAATGCTCTGGCAGAGCAGCAGAAGGCCCGTTCTCAGTCACAGTTGCCCGCATCATTCCCCTGCCTGCAAAATTCCTTCGGTGATGAGTATTGGATATACCAGGAGGTTCACTAACAGTAGTGAGTCTTGCACCTTCCTCCGGTCTACAATATTCTTGCTAAGCTTTCGGCTAAAATGGCTGCTCACTGCAAATCAGCCAGGTTGAAGACAGTGCGCCGGATGTCCGTCTGAAAAAGAAAAAGGACCTGCGTGAGTCCTGAGCATGTGAGGATACCCCAAAACTTTTGTGTGAATATTTAGGCAGCTTAAACATCCATGGCAATGGCAGTGATTGCAGATGAGGCCAAATTCCCCCGCTACTGACCAGTGTTGCAGGAGCTGTGTAACAAGTGGAAAAATGGTCAAGATTGCGTGCTGGGAAGAGCCTGCTCTTGGCTAAGTGCTTTCGAAGTGCCAGATTGTGACTGCATAGATTCATGAAGCAACTCACCTAAGCACACTAAGGCCCATATGCTCACGGAGAGAAGGAGCTGGGAACCGTGGAGCTTGTCGTCCGGGGCCCAGACGTGCGCGCAAGCCTTTGGATTTTGATAGTCGAAACTGAAGCATGCCAGCAGCGCAGCCAGCACTGCTAAGGTTTGTGGGCGTGTGAAGACAAGGATCTGCAAGTTCTGGACAGTGCCAGCCCGAGCTGGGGGGGAGGTTTGAAGATGCCTCAAACTCCCGCATGTATCTCATTGCTAGATCCGTGCTAGCCCCAATCCTGTTGTCCGCAGACGGGAAGCTGCATGTTCCTGGGCAACTGCGTGAACGCGCACGGTGAGAAGGAGCTCGGCACTAAAAGGCCAGATGGATAGTTTTTTTCGGGGCGCTCCTCAAAGATTCAAGGCCTGTCTGGCGAGGATCCTATCAGTGGCGGTCAGAAAGGAGAATACCCTTGAATCATAGGCATTTATTTTGGACAACCTGGGGCTACCCCATTGGAGTATATCGTGAGAACCCGCGGGAGGTACCCAGGGATCCTGTGCTCATTCCAGCTGGAAGTGACTCAGGGGAACACGACTTCTGCAATTGTTTTCAGTCCTTTGGGCAAAAGCCATAGGCCCTTTTCATTGCTGTGCTTCTTCCAAAGCCATTGCATCCACATTGACCGTTGGTAAATACATAGGGGAATCCAATATACGATAATATACGCAAAGGGATCCCTAATTTTGGGAAACTCTCCAATTTCCGTATGTCCTATATGACACCAATTTCCATTGCATTTTGATTTCCTTTTCCATTTGACCCCTCATGGTTTGGGGATAATGTCCCTAAACCCTGAATTCTAGATGGTGTGAAAGGTTGTTTAAACAAATAGTAGCTACCATTTTTCGTTTCCGCTATCCTTTTACAATCTTTACGTAATCCACATAACCTTCCCTGTAACGTGTGAACTAGACCCTAAGCCCTAAACCCTAAATACTAGCTTCCATTTGTTCCCTTATCCCCATATAACCCCAATATATACCCTATAATCATATAATACCCAAGCCATGGCAGTACCCAACCCTAAACCCTAAAACCTAAACCACTACACCTAACCCTGCGGCCAGGCCAGACTTCATGACTCCTCCCATGAAGAAGAGAAGGGAAGGAGAGCAGAGCGCTGAGACACCACATGAGGTTTTGTTTGTGACAGCCAGTGAATGGGTTATATAGAGGATCGGATATATAAGGTTTAGAGTTTCCGCAAATTTGCAGTCTTTTTTTTTTTTTGGGGGGGG